TAAAGTGCTAAAAATTGTTAAAGTTGTAACAATACTGACATTGACTAACATGTGGTAGGGGATTGGCTGACTATGGCTGCCACCTGCCTCTCCAGATGCAAGGGCTTCATTGAAATTCTACAACACATTTATTATGTATGCATAATTTAATTCACAGAACTGGTATTACTTATGAAACTACGTAGAAAACATTAAGGTGATAAAAGTACCTCAAGCTGAACTGTTCGTTTCGTTGAGTTCATCTTATTGTGACTCTTTAGCTCCATGGTCAGTTTTGATCTCTTAAATTTTCCTTTACATATATCTTTACACTTGAGGCCATTGGGGATTTTGTCAGTACTTTTGTTTCTCCCTAAATTTTTTTTTTTGTCTTTACCACGACTATAAATTTCATTCCTCTCAGCAAACCTACGACTACAACTTGTTTGGGCATATTTTTTCCATTCCATAGCTTTTACTAACAAATCATTAATTATATCCTGGCCTCCTTATCCTCCGATACAATGTAAGATATTTTTGTAAGAATACGACAAAGTACCCTGTGTCATCTCCTAACCTCAAGTTTGGGATCCGCATCGGCAATCACTTCGAGGGAAAGAATTTCCTCCAAGCTGCCATCTCTAGTAATTCTACTCCGGCCACCTTCTTAATATATATCGACAAGGCAATTCATTGGCAAACATGGAGTCCTTTAGGATTTTCACGGCTTGCATGCACATAATACCCTCCATTTCAAGTTTACAACAAAAACATAATAATTCATCTTGTGATGTCCTGGTCACATGGCGTTGCATCCCATTCTCACCAACAACTTTGTAAACACAGTCACCATTGCTATCGATGGGACTGCAACCAATGATACTCTAACTGGCAACAATTGTTAAAAACTCATCCTAGAAAAGCTCAAATATAACCACTGTGTACACCTTTCCCGGTTCTACTAATATGTTACACTTTGTTTTCAGTTGCGGTAAAGTGTGGAGCAATCCATAATCGGTTACATACTCCTTGTAATTAATGTTTGTTGGATAAAAGCCTTTCAAAGTGTGTGAAGAAATCTCTAGGAATCAGTTGCCTAGATAAGTAAGTCTTCAAGCCAATGAAACTTTCACTCAGTTGTGTGCTGCGGATACCCACAAACCAGGCATGTTTGATAAATGGCATGGCCCATCTATGTTTCAAACCTAACAGATTTAAAAGCCACATGTTACCAACAAGAAGACCATTTTCCGTTATCATTAAATTGTATTCCCTAGTAAATTCTTTCTCCTCCTCAATTTGAAAAATTAATTTTTATAACATCTTCTTTAAGCCTTGGGCACATTTAAACAAGAACACTAGATGCTTCTGTACATTTTACATTAGGTGCCAAACACACAGATAATGTTTTGTACCCTAGCATCACCTGCAAAATAATTTACTGTAGTAGTAAATAATATAACTATGTACTAACATGTAGTACTACCAACTACACAATGTAAAAGGAAATGAAAAGAGTGGAGATCTGAATTGAAATCACTTGCGTCAATGCATTTGCCATTGCAGCGTCTTGATCAGTAAAGATGTCTTTTGCGCTTTACCGGACATTACTTTTAAAAACGTTTCAAACAATCAAACAAACGAATCTGCAGTCTCGTTATACATGAATGTTACTCCAAACATAGCGGTTTCCCGGTGATGATTCGAGCCCAAGAAACTTGCAAATGGACGGTTGCCTTGTACAACTTTGCAGGTTGTGTCAAAACTTACAACATCTCCAAAATTACAATAATCACCTATCATTTTGTAATCTGCCCAGAATATGTTGGTTATCAGGGAAAATGTTCCCATGTGCACAAGGTAATAAACACAATTCTTCAAAGGGAAGCTTATGATAGTAAAGTGGCAACCATCGGCGGCAGCATTTCGAGTAATAAAGGAATAAGTACGCTCTTCATCCATCCTTTATCTTCAATGAATCACCTTCTTATTCAATGCAGATGAACGATGCTCTGGGTATTAACCAGAGCACTGTTTCTCTGTCTCAGGACTAGCCATGTTTTAGGTTATTTCGGGCCAACTTACTGTCGGGTCCTTATGTTTGTACAGTTGCTTTTCATTCAATAATTTGCTTTACTCTTTTTTTTTTTTTCAAAAAAAAAAAAACAAAAAGAAAACACCCTTGGCTAACAGGATAAAACAAATTGCAAAGGCTTTCAAGGAAGGAAAGTTGAACTTAACCTAGATTTCTTTATCCAATTTCTCCATCTTTACCTTACCACTTGGAATATTTATTTCCAATTACCAGTCAATAGTACCAAGATATCTACGAGTTATTAGTGTAATCAGGTTTTAAGTGATATCCAAAAACTCTAATTTTTAGATATTTCTTGTTCAATTTAAATTATCAAATACTTAGAACTAAAAATTGAGATGCACCTGTGTGACTTGACTTATCAAAATAAAAAAGTTAAACACTCCAATTAATATATTCATGAGTAAATCATTTTCTATTTTCTTTTCTGTTCTTCTCCTTTTCATTAACTAAATTCACAAACCAAAAGAAACGACACAATGTTCTTAATTTTAAGTCCAAAAGAAAAGGGAAATGGTTTTCTTTTGATTCTGTTGTTCTCTGTGTCCTACTTCTAGATCCCACAAGTATATATGCACGTGCTTTTCACTTACTATCTTTTTGAAAGATTTCATTTTTGTTGACCACTGTAGTTTTATTGTATGAAATCCTTGTGTTGCACAAGAAGTTTTACAATATTAATTTCATTTTGTCTGATTTATTCTGTTGTTGAATTATTTATCAAGTGAGTTCGCTGTTGGACTTAGGGATATCGTGATTCTGGAACTTTTCGTGTTTTTTCCACGTGAGGATATCAGAATTTTATGAGCAACCAACCAGCGCTCTTTTGGCCGGTATACTAAACCTATCTAAAGAAAAGCTGAAGAATATTATTATTATTATTATATATAACACGCACACATTTTCATCAAGATGCCTTGTCGACTCTCGAGTAGGTTGGTCGTCTGTCCTTTGGCGTTTATATATATTTATATAATTTTCAGGTGCTCTATCTACAGAGTACAGCCCAATTTTGTTGACTAAGATTTGAAAATAAAATTTTATTTACAGCATTAATTATATGGATCTGAAAACTGTGAAGTCTTCTGTGATACAGGGTGTAACTTGTAAGACTGTTAACTAGAGATTGCGGAGACCAACATTGCATGCATCTTGATATATGACGATTAAAATATTGTAATGCCATAAACAAATCAATTATTTATGCGCCGTTCAGAAGGGAATTAATTTAGAGCTTATTTTATATGTTTAAGTGTGTGTCTGTCTAATAAGGTTCAAACACTCAATTTTCTCATATGTATTTAAAAATAAAATTATATATATATACTGTCCATATCATCTGAGCTAATCGTTATTGAGTTGTTTCCTTTTTCTTTTCTTTTTTTTTTTTTTTTTTTTTTTTTTTCTAACCAAAGATTGATATATCTTAATTCTTAATTATTTTCTTTAGATAGGGATCCAAATGCATTTCTACACGATTGATTATCTAACAACTAACTAGTTCTTAATTAATAGAGCATGAATGATATGTCGAATGATTTGGCAGTCAAATGTAATTTAAAAGCAAATTTTTATGAGAGAAGATGGGAATATGGATAGAAACATAAAACAAAGGAAAGAAACAGGAGAGGGGAGTGAAACGTAGAACAATATAAGGTGAGAAACTGGAGAATCTTATAGAGATAAATAATATGATTGATAAATATGTAATACCCTTTTGATTGATCAAAAACATTGATAATTGTATGTCTTGCATTATAACTTCTAAATTAAGATTTTGTTTGCATACACTCCGTGTATATGTGTGTATATATATAATACTCTCCGTGGAAGTCACAGTTCTCAAAACGCCCAACTATTTTGGAATGGAGGGAATAGAAGATAAAATTGTATGCAAGGACAGATATAGGGTTGGGCTTGAGCCCATCCAAAAAAAAAAAAAATTCTATTAAGATAGATAATTTTAACCCAGCCTAAAAAATATATATATATATATTATTATTAGTATTAGCTCACTCAAATAATAGTTCACCCAAACAAGTCCAGATCAGCTAAATTTACGTTTAATATTAGTTTACTCCTATCGACAATTCCTAGATTCATCCTTAATTATGTGTGTGAAGAGGAATGTTTTGTTGCAGAAAATCAGACTTTTCATGAGATTCAATTAGGTTCATGTAGCCTGGGCATCCAACCATGTTTGATTTTGCAATGCAAGTAGAAAGATATAATTTTTTTATTTTTTTATGTAGGTTTGATAGTTTTTATTTTTTTTAAGGAAAGTGAGAGAGAGAGAGTTGATAGAGAAAAGTACGCCCATTCAATGAACTTTGGCAGCAAAAGAACATAAACGTTGTTGTACTACCATTGCTCAATCAATAAGCAAATAAACAATAGTATTTGGTATAAGATCATTTGAAAAAATATATATATATATGAGAGGGGCATTAAATAAAATTTACCCTAAACATGTACATTTAGTGGCTGGCTCTGCCCCGCCCGCCCCTATATAGCATATATATTTCTTAACACGATTGATAGTCGAAGAAGTTAAGAACTAGATCTTAGCGTCAACTAATTCAATCTACGAGATTAAATAATTTTAAGAGTCATCACTTACCTAAGAATAATAATTATAAATTTAAGCGGCATGTGATGATTTAAAAAACCAATGCCAACATCGTTGTGCTTTTAGGTCCTTGGAATTCAGAGTTCGTCTGCTGAGGGTCGATTCATACTGACTAAAAGCCAAAATAGTGACTCATATTTTTACTATCTTGCCCTTGGGAGTTGGTTTCCTATTTTTCCTCTTCAAGCACTATATAATGAGATGCACTCAAGTCACCTATTTCATGCATTCACTTTAAGCAGCTATACCTCTGCATATATACCTAAATCACTGTAAAAACACACACACACTCCAAGTATGGAAGTTGTCCCCAGCAATGGACATTACAGTTGGGCGGAAGAAGTGAAGGAATTCGACAAAACCAAAGCCGGCGTGAAGGGACTTGTAGACGCCGGCGTGGTAAAGATCCCCAGATTCTTCGTCCACCCACCCGAGAGTCTTCGCTGTCCGTCGCCGCCCGATAACACAAGCACCATTGAACTCGAGTTCCCCACGATAGACCTCCAAGGCTTTGAGAGCGGTGGTGCTCGGAGAAAGGAGGCCGTGGATGGGATTCGACAGGCGGCCTCCACATGGGGTTTCTTCCGGATGGTGAATCATGGTGTGCCAATGAGCACGACGGAGGCCATTTTAGAAGGTGTCCGCCGCTTCCACGAGCAACCGGTGGAGATGAAGAGGGACTTGTATTCCTCCGATAGCAGCAAGAGAGTGAGGTTCAACAGCAATGTCGCTCAACGTGAACTTGATGCTGCATGTTGGAGGGATTTGTTAACTTGTGTTTTTCAAGATGATACATTGGATCCTGAAGCTATTCCTCTGGTTTGCAGGTACTTATAATTTCATTTTACATTTTTGAGGTTGGGTGTTCGAGTTCTGTTAGGGATAATATTGTCCTGCTTTTTCTTAAATTTTCAGGGTGAAAAATACTAATGATATATTAGTCTTGTAAATATCTTGATCATTAATTAATTACTTTCTTTGTAAATCTGGATTTGCAGAAAAGAATTACAGGAGTATGTGAATTACATGATCAAACTAAGGGAGACAATGGCCAAGTTACTATCAGAGGCTTTAGGGTTAAGCAGTGACTACCTTTCACGCTTAGAATGCATGAAAGGTGAATCATTGGCATGCCTTTATTACCCAATTTGTCCTGAGCCAGATCTGACCTTGGGCACCGCCAAACATTCAGACACCACTTTCCTAACTCTACTCCTGCAAGACAACACTGGTGGTCTACAAGTTTTTCATCAAAATCAATGGATTGATGTGGCTCCTGTCCCTGGAGCTCTAATAGCAAACATTGGAGATCTCATGCAGGTATATATGTGTGTTTTGATCTCAATCAACTTGATTCATTTGCAGTCCTACGTGTTCACCACACATTACATCTTTGAAGTAGTTCAATACTTACTAACTCCTCCTAATTTATTTTTGTTTGCTCTATAATTTCAGATTATTAGCAATGACAAGTTCAAAAGTGTGGAGCATAGGGTGTTGGCCCAACTTGTGGGACCAAGGGTTTCAGTTGCATGTTTCTTCATTTCAAGTGGAAGGGCTGCATCTAAGCCTTTCGAACCCATAAAAGAGCTTCTATCCGAAGAACAACCACCTTTATACAGACAGTTCCTTTGCAGTGAATACTATCAATATTACAAGACCAAGGGAACAAATGTTACCTCAGCCCTTCCTCATTATAAGCTATGATGACAAGTTAAACAATGCTAGTAATTGCAGAAATAAATAGTGCTGCTCAGTTTCCAAATGATCAATAATAATTAATAAAGCTTGAAAGTCATTATAAATGACCTGTAATAGTAATTAGTACTGCTCTTTTTGACACTGTTTGTAGCAGTGCTTTTTCTTTGAATTTATTTTTATCTAAAGTTGTAATAGTAGTACTGCTCATTTTGATCTGTATGTAGTGGTAGTAGTACTGTTAATTATAATAAGCCATGTAATCTTGTTTGTTGTATTCCAATTTCACCATAAGCTTTACTTGTAACTTGTCATCAACTCATTTTTTACCCATTTCAGGAGTTTGTGTTCAGGTTAAATTATAATGAAACTCTAATAGGTTTGGCAAATTTTCAAATGGAGAGAATTTTGTTTTTTAACTTTTACTCAACTTTTTATAGTGTCATTTTTGACATATAAAATGACATTTTTACCCTTTTAACTTTGTATTTATTTACAAAAAGATTTTTTTATATATAAAATGACTTAACTACCCTCATAAGACATTTTTTAAGTGACCATAGTGTTCATTGGATTGAGAGACGTACGTTGTCCAAAATAATAATAATAATAATAATAATAAAAGATAAAAAGATAAAGAGTTCAAAAAATAGGAGGTAGAAGGAGATGACATGTAGTGATGAGGGTGGAGTTGATAAGATGGTGGTGGAGGTGGCAGTGGCGGTGGAAGGAGGGGGCGATGGTGGAGTGACAATTTAGAAGAGAAGTGTTGTGTGTGACAGGGAGAAATGGAAAGTATGTGGTGGTGTCAATAGTAATGGAAGGGTGAATAGAGAGGGTATTGATGCTTTTAGTCTTCTTCTTCTTCTTCTTCTTCTTCTTCTTCTTTTTTTTTTTTTTTTTTTTTTTAAATACATTGATATTTTTATTGTATCTTTTAAATGCTTTCCTGTTTCAAAATAAGTGTCTTTATTTTTATATTTAAATGCTCCAATCTACCCTTCTTTATTGAACTTCAAAAACAATTAAATATAAAACATCAACGTATCATTGTCGACCCATCATGGTAGATTTGTAATTCATTCACTTCCAGCTGGCTTGTGTAATCAATCATATCATGCAGAAGTTTTTGGGGGCAGGAGCCACAGGACCAGCAATGAATAAATTCATGACCAAATTGAGTTATACAGTATAGGATTAGGTGTGTACAACCCAAAGCAGCAGGAGGACTTGGTATCCATGACATACATGAGTGGAATAGGGCCTCAATTCTTAGGCGCCTATGGACTCTATGCTGAAATGAGACAGCAAGCTTATGAAAGGAGTGGACTATGAAGTACTTAATCAAGCATAGGAATTTAGAGAAATCAATATCCCAAATGAATGCCCCCCCACCCCCCTCCTTTTCTTTCTTTATTTTTTGTTTTTTTTGAAAGGTAAATAAATTTTATAAATATCAAAAGAAATACAAGCTGAATAGTTAGCCCAAGCTAACCAAACATTACAAGCTCAAAAGTATAAGGCCCACCACAAAGGCAACCCATACAACAACAGAAAATCTTGCTCAACCCCTTGTCAAGCACTACATCAACAATTTAAGAAGACCAATCGTATCTGCTTGAATTTAAAGCCTAGGACATAGGCAAGTAACTTTTCTACTATATTTTTATGATATTATTATGTGCCTTAAAAATACTTGTACGTCAATAAAAAAAGCATAAAAAGTTTCACAGACTAATTATATATATATATATTTTTAATAGAAATGATAATAAAGTTTCACAGACTAATTATATATATATATATAGTGTCGGGGCATTTTTGACATATAAAATGATATTTTTACCCATTTAACTTTATATTTATTTACAAAAAGATTTTTTTATATATAAAATGACTTAACTATCCCCATATGACATATTTTAAGTGACCAAAATGTTCGTTGGATTGAGAGACCTTGTCCAAAATAATAATAATAATAATAAAAGAAAAAAAGATAAAGAATTCAAAAAATAGGAGGTAGAAGGAGATGACATGTAGTGGTGAGGGTGGCAGTGGTGGTAAAAGGAGGGGGCGTTGGTGGAGTGACAATTTGGAAGAGAAGTGTTGTGTGTGACAGAGAGAAATGGAAAGTATGTGGTGGTGTCAATGGTAATGGAAGGGTGAATAGAGAGGGTTTTGATGCTTTTAGTCTTTTTAATAGATTGATATTTAGGTAAAGTACAGCTACACCCCCTGAGATTTGACAAAAGAACAGACAGATGAAAGTTATTTATTTTTTGGATAATGACAGTCCCTCTTATGAAATTCTATCCAAACAAGGCCATAAGTCATATGAAAAGACAAAATTACCCCTTAATATTAAATTCAAATATATTACAAAATATCAGACCTTGCAAAATAACACACTAGCCCCTTATTCATTTTTTTCTCTTCTCCTCTTTCTATCATGTCATCTATGCCTTTCTCTCTATCTGCTAACATATATATATATAGGCATATTACAACACCACCAACAACATTTACAGGGATGGTGCAGGGGTCGTCGGCCGCAGCCGCCACACCTCAGCCTCCCCCGCCGCCACCACCACACCTACCTACACCGCTCTCCTGGAGTGGCGCCACTGCATACCCCAACGAGCCGGTCATCCGATCCCTCTTCTGCTGCCAAATCAAGGTTTGTATTCGTAGAAAGGGGCTGTGAATGGGTTGTGGATGAGACAGAAAGGGGTGTGTACATATATATGTATCAATCTTTGCAAAATTTGCGTCGGATTGAAGGATTAAGGCTCTCTGAGTCGACGGAATCGAAGGATGAAGGCCGCGGATCCATACACCATCACCGTCTGTATATACATATATATGTGTGTGTATATATATGTATCTGTATATAAATATATATAATCCAAATTTTTATTTTGGATTTCCCATGTAACATGGTATGATTTGCACTCCCTCTATGAGAAGAATATATATATTCTTATGAATGATCTGGCGTGCTTTGATATTTGGCTATGGAGAGCATTCAGATTGGAATATGTATGAAAATATATTTATAATCTCTGTATATATATTTATATTTACCTTATTATTTTGATTCATACCTCTCAGGGCAATTAAAAGTTATATGTGTTAACAACTTCACATATATGTATACAGTTGGGTGATTAGTTGTTTTCAAATTTAATTATATCCACACTTGATTTTTGATTTTCGATCCCAATCAATATATTAGATTTGATCACCAGAATTTGTTCAAATTTTTTTTTCTTTTTTCAGAAATACAGGTCTAACTTAAGTGATATAGGGATGAATTTTATCCAAGTTTGAGGCGGCGGCGCCGGCTGATGGGTTCTTTACCCAGGGATTATGTAGTGTGTATATACATATGTGTATATATATACACACACACGCATACATACAGAGAGAAAAGGTTAGGGTTTGGGTTTGGGTTTGATCAAAGGGTATTTAAGTCAATTAAAATATCAATTTTATATCAAAGGGTAATAAAGTCAATTCACAATTGTCAGGTTCTCTTTGTTCATTTTTCAAACTTGATGGGAGTGTCATTGTCCAAAAAATAAGTAACTTTTACCTGTGTGTCCTTTTACCAAACTTCAAGGGGTATGGCTGTACTTTACTCCTGATACTTTTATTGTATCTTTTAAATACTCTCTTGTTTCAAAATAAGTGTCTATATTTTTATATTTAAATGCTCCAATTTACCCTTCTTTATTGAACTTCAAAAACAATTAAATATAAGGGTAAAGTACATTGACACCCCATGAGGTTTGGGAAAAGGACAAGCAGAGTAAAGTTAGCCTGTTTTTGGACAATGACACCCCTTCAAGTTTGAAAAATGGACAAAGAAACCCTGAAGATGGTGAATTAACCTTATTACCATTTCAAATAAAATTAACATTTTAATTGACTTAAATACCCTTTGATTAAACCCAAACCCGAAACCAAACCCGAACCCAAACCCGCCTGTGTATGTTATACAGTTCACCAGAGGAGAGAGAAAGGAGATCAGACGGATGGTGGTTGTGGCCGCGGTGGTGGGGTAGAGAGGGGGAAGAGAGGGGGCGGCCATAGTTGAAGAGATGAGGTGAAGAGGAGAGAGAGGAAGAAGATATGAGAGAGATTGTGGTGATGGTTGCGATAGTGGGGGTGGTGGCGATGACTGCGATAGTGGCGTTGAAACCCAAAAGCATCGGCGAAACCCTGAAATTGCCGGCGAGGACTAAGCTCCGATGAAGATGCAGCCACGGACTGAACAGTGTGGCGAAGTTTAGAAACCGAGCAACAAGAGACCGACGAGCAGAAACAATCCTACGAGGACCAAGCTCCGATGATGACAAGGTTCAGATGAGCACAGTTCGGCGACCGTCACCTGCAAGGCCGAGGAGGCTGAAGTGGACATCACTTCTGCCGTCCGTTTTGAGTCCAATTAGAGCCCTTTCCGTGCGAAGATGAGAATTAGGGATGGTAATGTGCACAGATGAGAGGGTGATATATATGTGTGTGTGTGTGTATGCGTGTGTATAGAGAGAGAGGGGAAGAGGGTGGTGGTGGCGGCGGCACTAATCTCATCCTCAAATCTTCCCTGCAAGCTCAAACATCAACTCTCTACCGTTGTCAAGAATCAAAGACACCGGCGTAGGGAACGTCTCTGTCAATCCCGGTCAAACCCCGCTTGTCCGAGGTCGAGTTCGCCGCCCGAACCGAGGCTGAGCTCCGGCGAGGTCGAGGAGGTGGCAGTGGCAAAGCTCCTTTTCGGCGTCTTCTTTAGTGGGTGGTGATTATGGAGGTTGGGGGTTGGTGGAGATTAGGGCGGTGGTGACTGGTTGTTGGTGTTTGTATATATATATATATATAAGTATATATGAAAAGGGTATTTTGGCCATTTAAGTTTTAAATATTTTATAATTAAATTTAATAAAATAGTGAAGGGTAAAGTGGACTTTTCACTTGATTTAAGGCTCTGTTTGGAGGGCAAATTTCACAAGGGGGTGTGTTTGTTCAAAAACAAGTCAACTTTCCTCTGTTTGTCCTTTCCTCAAACCTGAAAGGGTGTCTTTGTATTTCACCCTAAATATAAAGTAATAATAAGAGAATCGAAAAGAAATTTTTGAATAAGTCCCGAATTTGACGTGATTGGCTGTACTTATCACATGTTAAATAATTATTTTTTAAAAATTATTTAAATAAATGAAGTGAATAAAAACACACCAAATTCAAAACTTATTCGAAAAAATAATTCGAAGAACTTATCATTTTGCTTAAATATAAAACATTATTATATCATTGTCTACCCATGATTTGTAATTCATTCACTTCCAGCTGGCTTGTGCGACCAAATCAATCATATCATGCGGAAGTTTTTGGGGGCAGGAGCCGCAGGACCAGCAATGAATAAATTCATGACCAAATTGAGTTATACAGTATAGGATTAGGTGTGTACACCCAAAGCAGCGGGAGGACTTGGTATCCATGACATGCATGAGTGGAAATAGGGCCTCAATTCTTGGGCACCTACGGACTCTATGCTCAAATGAGACAGCAAGCTTACGAAAGGAGTGGACTATGAAGTACTTAATCAAGCATAATTAGAAAAATTAATATCCCAAATCAATGCTCAGGTTTTGGAAAACGTTTCTACGTAATAAGGAATTTTGATCTCTTTTTTAAGTACAAAAAGTCAATAATGCTTTTTATATTTTAGACTTTTTTTTATGAAAAATTACTTTTTTGTCCAACATTATTAAAAACATACTCGGACTCAAAGGGCAACATGGCAATTTTATTTTAGAAAAAATTAAGAAAATAGGTGTAATGAGCACACGAACCCACTTTGAAAGGATATCAAAGAAATAAACTTCAAATGTTTTACTGCGTATAATTTAACAAAATTTCAAGAAAAATAAATGTAATTTATCTCCCTCAAAAAAAAAAAAATTAAAAAAAGTCTTAATTTTTACCCTCCCTTATGTTTAATGTTTTTTGTCTTAATTGTTCTATATTACTTAACACAAACTAGAGTCAATGAAAAAAATATAGTAATAAATTAAAAAAAAAAAATTCTTAATTTTGACGCTCCATTATGTTTAATGTTCTTTGTTCGTGATATATGTTCCGCCATTTATAAGTTTCATATAATTAATATATTTTCTGTACCATTTAAGTCTTACACAAATTAACATGTACTCTCTCCGTCCTAAAATAACTATCATATTTTTTATTTTTTTTTTTGTCTGTTCCAAAATAAGTGTCCATTTTTCTTCTTCAAACAATATATTTCACATCTTTTCATATATGTCATTTGAATTTAAATTTCAAATTTAAATATTTAAAATTTAAAAGGGCAAGTTAAAAGGGCAAGTTAATAATTTATTAATAGACAATGCATATCCTGATATCTTACATATCCCTTTAAAAATTACTACTCCCCTGTAAATAATACTTAAATTGGGACAGATGAAGTATTTTTTTGGGGTTCTTATTGTCCTACTAACACCTCTCTAGGCATAGTGAAATATTAAACATATATTTCCCCATTTAAGTTTCATATATAATTTTGAAAAAAAAGGTGAGATATAGTTTTTCAAAAGAAAAAGGTACAGAGTATTAATTAATCACTTCTCCATCTACACATATTTTGAAATTATTTGTTTTCGCATTTTCAATAGATTTGGATTCGTGTAGCAGAGAAAATTGATCACAAAGATCTTATCTAGCGAATTACAATAGGACCCTTCGAATAAATTACACAACAACAATTATACTTTTTTATCCTTCAAAAAAAAAAAAATAAAAAAAAAATAAAAAATATATATTACTCAACAATTTATTATCACAGTTCTCTGCATACGAATTAAAGGGAAAATTCAAATTTAGTTGAATGATAAAACAAAACCATACATACTACGCTCATCTTAATAACATGTGAACCAGCTGCTTTATTTATTTTGCTGACGATACTTCTATGGATTAGGCGCCTGTGCAATTATTGAGCTGCTGCCAGCGCGTTCATGATCGTTATGTCCTGCAGCGGTTCCAGATCCTGCAAAACTCATATAAAAAAATGAATATGAGTGTGTGTATGAGTGTGTGTATGTGTGTGTGTGTGAGAGAGAGAGAGAGTACTTACTGAGGGAGGGTATGGGAGCGACCACCGGTGAAACCATGATAATCCAAATCATGAACAAACAGCATAAGATGATAATAGCATTAGAGTTCGAAGAAGCTTTGCTTGTCATTTTAATTTGTTTCTTCTATATGGGCTCCAACGAAAAACTGAACAAAGGAAGCTGTAGTATATTATGTTTAAGCACGATATATATATATATATAATTTAAAGTGTATTCAAAGCCTTTCTTAAAGCAAGTGGGTTTTCCGTGTTGAAAGACTTTTGACGTAGAAAGTGGATTTTACTCTTTCGAGGAAATGAGAGGCCTTGAATCTTCTTTAAAGTATATCTGCATTCATGAAAGACTTTTGACGTAGAAAGTGGATTTTACTCTTTCGAGGAAATGAGAGGCCTTGAATCTTCTTTAAAGTATATCTGCATTCATGAAAGAGTAATACTTGCATCCTGTGCGGAGATGATTAATTCATCCTCCTTGTTGACGTGGTCTTCTCTATCACTGACACCAGTCCAAAATAAAAATCATAAAAACATGAATAATGCCTATTTATTCGAGTTAAATCCATTTATTGTAATGACTCTCTTCTCTCCCTCTTTCCTCAATACCTCAACTGCAGCAAAGGCCATTCTAATCTTCCATCTCTCTCTCCATCTTAAGCACTTTTGGGAAATCATGTGCTTGCTCTCTCTTCGATTTTGGGGCTAAGCCTCATAGACGATGACCTGTCAATGGCACTGGGCGAGATGAATTTTTTTAAATCCTTTCATGCAATCGTTTTTTTTAATAGACGAGGCCCGTCGATCTGCAGCAACAACCCATCGACTTTATGCAGCCAGAGGCCCGTTGATTTTCATTCCATCGATATTGTTGAAAAACATGTCATCAGTGATATTTTATTACGCTGACTATGAAACTTACAGAGGAGTTTAAAAAAAAAAAAAAAAAAAAAAAAAAAAAAAAAAAAAAAAAAAACTTACAGAGACCATGTTCAAGCCTCTTTCGCAAGATGGGGCAAGGCTTTCTTTGTACTTTTCCGAATCGCCGCCGCCCATCCGTCGTACCTAGGGTTGGCCCAACCTAACCCAATTCCAACCCAACTTCAATCTGAATCGGGTTGAGTTGGGCAACCAAATTGTACCTAATATGGGTTAAGGTCAAAACCCAATTCGAATATTTTCGGGCCGATCGGATCGGGTCGAGTTTTTTTTAAAAATAATTTTTTTTTTAAATTTATATATATATATATATATATATATATATTATATTTGATTATATTATTATTAAAAAACAAAAAAAATTTAGAGCAAATCATTTCAGCCTCCAGGTCTCTCATTCTCAACTCTCTCTCTTTCTCTGCAATTGTAAAACTACAACTGTGTACAGAATATTCATTTAATTTCATAGTGATTATTTCATAGGACAAATCATTTCAGCCTCCCCGTCTCCAGGTCTCATTCTCAACTCTCTCTTTCTCTGCAATTGCAAACCCATATCGGCATATATCATTTCAAATTGTTCAAAAAATCAAAACCCATATCTTTCAGTTTTAATCGCCGCTGTTCCAGTTCGGCAGTGGATCAACGGTGGTGGATTAGCACATCGGCGGTGGTGGATCAACATATTATTTCAGATTATTCAAAAGTTCAAAACCCATATCGGCGGTGAATCGGCAGTGATGAATCAGCATAACATTTCAGATTGTTCAAAAGTTCAAAACCCATATCGACGGTGGATCAGCGGTGGCAGTGGCGGGGACGGCGGGAGAGAGAGAAAGAAAAAGAAGAGAGAGGAAAGAGAAAGGAGAAAAAAAAAAAAAAAAAAAAAAAAGTTTTGGGTTGGGTTCGGTTGAGCCCGAGCCCAACCTGAATATGTCTGAATTTTGACAAAATCCAACCTGATCATGAGCTCGATTTTTGAGTTGTATGTTCATTTCTGGGTTGGGGTTGAGCTGGGCTAGGTTAGCCCGCCCAAGTTACAGTCCTAGTTGTACCGCCGACGAATACCGTCAATTATGTACAAATCAGTTTATCAGAGGACCATATATTTCATTGGACCCACCATGGATTTGGACTGATATATGTTTCGCCGTTTGCCGTCACCGACAAACAGTTTCTCGTCGATCGTCGTCGCCGTCAAATGCCATAGATGGGCTCATCAAACCGCCGTTCTGTTCATCCTGTCGCTGCCATTTTTCTTGTTCGACGGTTGTCCTTCTTAGGCTGAACCCATCGATCTCCAATGCCATCTGGTCGATTTTGGGCCAACTTGACAATTCTTCATTTGCTGCACACGCCCTCCACATTTTTTAGATGGGCTTGTCGATCTCCGGCGACAACCCAAAGATTTTTCGTTGTACCCATTTGGATTGACGAGCAATTCCTTCAAATCTAACCAATCAAACCAATTTGGAGAGAGTGATTACGTGAAATGGATTTAACCCAAATAAATGGGTATTACCCATATTTTTATGATTTTTTATTTTGAACAGGTGTCAGCCATAGGGAAGGCCATGTCAGCAGGAAGGATGAACCTCATCCTCCCCGCGCAGGATGCAAGTATTACTCTTCATGAAATGCATTTATGTTATTATAATATTTATCCTTTTCTCTATTGACTAAAATTCCTTTCATCTACTCTCACATTTCCTCCTCCTCCCTCTTTACCAACAACACATCCCTACAATAAATCTCCTTCTATATATATATATATATATATATATATAGACACACACACACACACACTAATGAGATGTATAACCGCCACCCTCTGTCTACTGGAGGATTGTGGAACACATCACCTCCACAAACATTGAACACAATTTGTTAAAACTTGAAATTATATTTTTTCTCCAAAAATTAGTATTTAATCACTGACTTTCCCCTTCTATGAATTAGGTGAATAAAAGATAAATGAAATAAGGTCAAAAAAATATATGGTAAGAACTATTATAAGAAATTGGTGACAAATTAGACCCAATTTAAGCTTCCTAATTGATCTAGGACAACAAACAAATCCAAACCCTAAACCCACAAAATAACCTTGGCATTGAACGAAGACTCACAATATTTTGGAATAAGGGACAAGCTAACTGTGTATTCATTATGCAACTAATGAATCTAATATCAGATGCTAGATGTTTAAAAAAAATTTATGACACTGTTCAAATTGGGACTGAATTTTAGAATTTTCATTTACAAAAAATTTATAAATAGACAAACAAAAATTATTTGATTGCAATTGAGTCTGACTTGTGAGAATTGTTTGCTCAAGTTATTCTTTTCACAACCAAGGACAGGACTTAGTCGGTCTCATAACATAGTCTTTATAACATACTCTCTATGTGAAATTTCTCTCTAGGATTTCTTTCTCCGTGCTTCTATCTACCAAATTATAGATAAATTATGTAAATAGTAAAGGGTAATTATGAGAGTGGAAATTGTATTAACATCATATTCTTAAGCATGGTTATATTGCATGGTTAACATTAAAGGAAAGGTTAGCAACACTGAACACAAAGCCAATGATGAAGAAGCACTACACAAATGCATGTTACTTGTGCCTTGCTGATTGTGAATTTGTGGACCATCTATTCTTCAAGTGTAAGTTCAGTAGTACCATTTGGGATTTTGTACAACATGCTGCAGGGTTCTACATCAAACCAGATTCATGGAGGGACCTGATTGCTTGGTGCTCATCAACTCGGACACAACAACACTTCATCACACACAAGCTTCTCCTTTCCTGTGCCATCTATTATATTTGGCAGAAGAGAAATTCAAGAGCCTTTAAAAATAGGTCTGCCACAGCCTACCAAATCATCAATCTCATCAAAGGATGCATCAGAGCAAGATTTGCTTCTCTCAAGCTAAGAAATGCTACTGAATTGAGTAAGATTCACACTGTTGAAGCTATAACAACTCTTCATACAAGGATGTGCATATGCAAGAGGTCAATCATGGTTCCTTCTGCAACAATGAGTGGATTCATCAGATACAGCTTCTGATAGGCCCAGACTAGTAGTAGCTTCATTGATTGTTGGAAGATTTTGGTGTTTTTGTATTTGAACACTGCCATGGAAGTCTTTTTTCCTTTGGCACTTTTGTTGCTATACATATTTTCTCATTTATAAAGCTTGCCCTTTTAACGAAAAAAAATAAATAAATAAAATTGTAGATACCAAACATTATGTGGTCCATGGATTTTTTTGTAATTCCATTTCAAGAGAGAAGGAAAGTGGAGCGCCTAAGAATATTGGTGGAGTGCCAATATCAGCTCCCTTCTGAAAGCTAGAAATAATTCAAAACAAAAAAAAAAGATAAAAAATTTGATGTCATTTTTAGTCATATTCCTTTAATATACTTATATACTACCTATATCCCCTATTAGATGTCTACTTCGATAATTTTAACTCACAAAAATTACAAGTTAAAATTTTTAAAGTGGACAACTAATATGGGACGGAGATAGTAGATATATATATATATATATATATATATATATATATATATCTAAATTGCAACTCATGGTTTCTCTGCTCTCTAATCATTGATTTGACAAAGATGCTTGGAGGGCTACTCCCCTCTGTTTGTTGTTGGGTTTATGGCGCTAGAGAAATAGGAGATCCTTTGAGATATTGATTCTTTTGCGAATGAGCACGTTTGTAAATCTGCGGGTGAACTTGTGTATAGCCTAAAATTTTAGTTGGCCATTATCGGCTTTTAGTGTATTCTCTTGGGAGCACTCCCCTCTTAAGTGCATTCAATGAAACTTGTCAAAAAATAAATAAATAAATAAAGGAAATGGTATATTCTACTGTCTTTTAGTTAGTTTACTGAATTGATTTGCTCTTTTATTTTTTATTTTTTCATTGATCTATATAGGTGTTGACTCTTAAGGAGGTCAGTAAACTAAATTGGAAAATATGCATCCGGGTTTGATAGCAGAAGTGGATGCCTTTTGCTAGTGAAGAAGGTTCTATCTATCTGAAAGTGTATATGCAACTGTATTACATTACACAATGTGATTTCTACTTTGGGGAAATATTCTCTTACTGTTCCTATTTTTTCTAGCACCTGTTGAAGAGCTTATGGGGATGTAATGTTTTTATGTTCACAACAAATTTTACTGAAATTATTAGGAGTAAAATTATTAATAGTTTTGAAAAGAACAAAATAGTAGAATGCAGGAACTTTGGTTATATTCTCGTCTCTTTCTATCTATAATGCAGAAACTACTGCTAAGCCATGGAATACAAAATCTGACCAAGGTTTCCTATGAAGCAAGTGAAAAGGAAAATATCAAAGAAGATGTGTTTAATTTTTGCACATGTGAAATCATTCGC